GAGAGGCCACTGCACTCCAGTCTGGGCGACAGAGTGAGACTCCAACTCAAATAATAATAATAATAATAAAAGACTATTTAGGTTTTGAGAACATCTCTACCTCTGAACAGGAAGAACTGCCAGAGTAACATGACCCTTTCCTGTTTTTGCCAGCAATTGTATCTCAGGTGCTTTTTTAACCTCTTTTTTTTTTTTTTGAGTCAGAGTCTCACTCTGGCACCCAGGCTGGAGTGCAGTAGCACGCTGTCAGCCACTGCAGCTTCAACCAGCTGGGCTCAGGTAATCATTCTGTCTCAGCCTTCCAAGTAGCTGAAACAATAGGCATGTGCTACCACACACAGCTAATTTTTTTATTTATTATAGTAGAGACAGAGTCTCACCAGGTGGCCCAGGCTGGTCTCCAACCCCTGGGCTCAGACATTCCTCTCACCTCCAACTCCCAAAGTGCTGAGATTACAGGAATGAGCCACTACACTGCCTACATATGTTAGTTGCTAACTTTTTGTGTGTTGAAGGGATTGAGATGGACACTGGTAAGCCAAGTTTTGTGTTGCCCAAGTAGACAGTGGTCCTAAAGTCACTCTCAAAAGGACTGGTGTATTTCTCTATGGTAGGAGAAAAGTATTTGAGGAAGTACTTGTACTTACTAGTGAGCATGACTACACTGTCTTTTCCTTACAGGTGACGGCAAATGTGTGATCTGTGACTCTTATGTGCGTCCCTGTACCCTGGTGCGCATATGTGATGAGTGTAATTATGGCTCTTACCAGGGGCGCTGTGTGATCTGTGGAGGCCCGGGAGTCTCCGATGCCTATTACTGTAAAGAGTGCACCATCCAGGAGAAGGATGTGAGTGTATATGCTTTCCATCTGACCTGTCCTCCGTTAACACTATGCCATCCACAGCAATCTGGTGTGGTCTGTGGAGATTACTATGTCCAGCTGTAACCTAGGTTATAATTTCTTCAAATTCTATGAGTCAAACTGGGTGTAGTCCAATAAAAGGCAGTTATTTTGCATCAAGAACACAAAATGCAAGGGAAGCAAATCTTTGTCAGCCCTAGTAATTTGGAGAGCTCTCTCTTCTCCCAATGCCTTTGATGTCTCCCTATGATTATTCTTATTCAGAAACAACATCCTGCATTTGTAAATCTTAGCACAGTGCATGGTGTATAATAGCCACTCACTAATCTTAAATCTACTATCACTAAGCACTGTTTGGGTGCTTGTAGTGAAAAAGTTGAATTAGGGACAGTTGAAGTTCATTTCAACTTTAAGTGAATAAAGAACATCTTTTTGTTCAGTGTTGCAGAATTGATTATAGGCCTGCTTCATGATAGTTTCGTCCTTTTATACTGTGTAGTGGCAGTGGCTAGTTATTATTATTAACTCTGAGCTAGATGTCAGGAGAGAGGGTTTATAGACCAGTGCCACGGGCAAGTTTTATCCTTTTTCTTTAGATACTACTGACAGCAGTGTACTTGGGGGGAATAAAGCCCATGAATCAGCTAGTTTTCTCATGACAAAAGGAAATAGGATATACTCCCACTAGGCTAAGAGAGTATACCCAGTTATCTAATTTAGGATAAGGCAAAAGATGCTAATTCTTCATATTCCCATGAACAAAGAATAGGTAGTTTATACATTTTATCTCCCTTGTTCCTCACAATAATTTTGGGGTTTTTTTTGTTTGTTGGTTGGTTTTTTTGAGTTGGAGTCTCACTCTGTTACCCAGACTGGAGTGCAGTGGCACACTTCCGGCCACCACAGCCTCAACCTGCTGGGCTCTAGCGATCCTTCCGCCTCAGCCTTCCAAGTAGCTGGAAGTACAGGAGCGCGCTACCATACCTGGCTAATTTTTTTCATTTATTGTAGAGATGAGGTCTGGCCAAGTTGCCCAGGCAGGTCTCGAACCCGCGGGCTCAGGCAGTTCATTCACCTCAGCCTCCCAAGGCGCGGGATTACAGGCTGAGCCACCGAGCCCAGCTAATTTGTTAAGGATTTTTTTTGAGTTGGGGATTTCACTCTGTTACATAGGCTGGAGTGCAGAGGTGTGATCATGACTCACTGCAGCTTTGACCTCCTGGGCTCAAGCAGTCCTTCCCACTCAGCCTCCTGAGTAGCTGGGACTATAGACATGCACCACCATGCTTGGCTAAAATTTTTTTTTTTTGTAGAGACAAGGTCTATGTGCCTATGTTGGTTTCAAACCCCTGGGCACAAGTGATCCTCCCATCTTGGCTTTCCAAATTGCGGGGATTACATGTGTGAGCCAGCACAACTGGCCAGATTATTATCCCTATTTTACAGTCCATCTCCCAGGTAATAAATGACAAGCCTGTTGACTAAACTTTGTGGTGTCCCTATTACACCATATTGTCTTTTCATAAGTCTTTTTGGGCCGGGCATGGTGCCTCATGCCTGTAATCCCAGCTCTTTGGGACCAGCCTGGGCAATTTGGTGAGACTGTATCTCTACAATAAATTAAACAATTAGCCATGTGGTGGTGCACGCCTGTGGTTCCAGCTACTTGGAAGGCTGAGATGAAAGGATCACCTGGGCCCAGCAGGTCAAGACTATAGTGAATGTGAGAGTACCACTGCACTCCAGCCTGGGAGATAGAGTGAAACTCTAACTCAAAAAAAAAAAAGAAAAATTCTTTTTGAGGCCAGGCATTTTGAGGACAACATTTTCTTGAATTTTTGCATGATTGTAGCTGGAGTTTTTACCTGGCATAAGTGTGCAACCAGATAATGGTTAATAAATGTTAATTGCTGTCTGACTCATCTGGATGTGGTGTGTGACCTGATACCTTTTGATCCTTATGCCTCATTCTGTCCCTGAGACTTATTCTAAATGTCACTTCCCCTACTTCACATTATACAGGAATGTTCTGAGGACATTTGAGATGGCATCTAGCTCATATTCAGCACTAGTTTCCAAGGAACACAAAGCAGTCCAGTGACATGATCCAGGGTCTCACCCTTACAGATCATCATGTAGATTAAGTGCCCAAGGCTTTTTCCTATGCAGAAATCTTCCTATAACTAAAGCAACTCCTATTATTGTTCTCTTCCTGCAACTTTCATAATTTATAAGGGAATTAGACCAGTAAGCTAAGCTTGGTGATCTCATTTGTAGTTTTTCTTTTATTTATTGTAGAGAGGAGATCTCACAAAGTTGCCCCTGCTGGTCTTAAACGACTGGGCTCAGGCAATCCTCTTACCTCCACCTCCCAAAGTGCTGGGATTACAGGTGTGAGCCACCGTGCCCAGCCTGTTTGTTTTTTTTTTAACGGACAGGATCTCCCTCTGTCACCCATGTGGAAATGGGGCGATGCAGTGGTAGCTCATTAACTATGAATGCCTGGGCTCATGATCTTCCCACTTCAGCTTTCAGAGTAGCTAGCACTACAGGTGCACCTCACCATGTGTGGTTAATAGTTTTATTTTTTGTAGAGACAGGGTCTCACTGTGTTTTCCAGATCTTGAATTCCTAGCCTTAAGCAGTTCTCCCACCTTAGACTCCCAAAATGAGGGATTACAGGTATAAACCACTGTGACCAGCCTTCACTTTCTGATTTGTTTAAAAAACAGGACTTGCCACTGGCACTCATTCATAATTTTGTCTTACCATTGCTAAGAAATAGAGATGTCATTTTCAGTAATTGTGCTTTTCAATTGTCTTTTCCACATTTCAGATGTGTATACATATACATTTGGTATGATATTTTAGTACATGATTTGTGTTGGTTTTAGGGTATTACTACAGCAAGGCACAGGCTACTCAGGAGGTATAGTGGGGAGGATTGCTTGAGCTCTGGAGTTCAAGACTGCAGTAAACCATGATAGTACCACCAGGCTCCAGCCTGGGCAACAGAGCAAAACTTTGACTCTTTAGAAAGAGAAAAAAAAGTATTACTTAAGTTTTTAATCACTAGTTCAGGGTAATTTTTGTAGCTTACTTTCCTGCCGTAGAATGGACTTGATTAAAACAGCATTTTTCAGGAAAGAAAGCCAGTATCGTTGAGTCCTCTTTGGTTGTTGCTATGGAAACCCAGCTGAGGCATCTCGCAGTGATGTTTTGTGTTTTATTGTAAGAGACAGGGTCTTACTCTGTTGCCCAAACTAGAGTACGGTGGCCCAGTCATATTCCTCACTACAGCTTTGAACCTCTGGGCTCAACCAGTTCTCCCACCTCACCTTTCTGAGTAGCTGGGAGTACAGATACACACCACCAACTCTCGGGAAATTTTTTAATTTTTTTGTAGAGACAAGGTCTCAAGCAATCCTTCCACCTTAGCCTCCCAGAATACTGGGATTACAGATATAAGCCATTGTGCCTAGCCATTTTCTAGTGATGCTTTACTGGACATGTTTTTTGGCCTTTTTCCCTTCAGTTTTCCAGACTGGAGTGCAGTGACACAATCAAGGCTCACCACAACCTCGACCTCCTCAGGTGACCCTTCTGCCTTAGCCTCTCAATTTGCTTGCCACCATGCCAACTAGCTTTGATTGTGTTATAAAGATGAGGTCTCACTGGTAACAAACATGTTTAGTATAATGGAAACAAGTACCTGATATCTTTTTTTTTTGAGTTGGAATTTCACTGTGGCCCAGGTGAGAGTGCAGTGGCATGCCCATGGCCACCACAGCCTTGACCTGCTGTGCTCAGTTGGTCCTTCCCCTTTAGCCTTCCAAGTAGAACTACAGACACATGCCACCATGCCCAGCTAATTTTTTTTTTTATTATAGAGCCAAGGAGTTTTCAAGTTGCCCGGGCTGGTCTTGAACCAGGCAGTCCTCTCTCCACTTCCCAGAGTGCTAGGATTACAGGCAGGAGCTACCACGCCCAGCTCAAAATTCTTAGTTTTCAAATGGACAGTCGCTAAAGAGCTCCTGTCATCAAGGCAAACACTCCAGATATATTTAAACTGTCCTCTAGCTCTGCTTATAAATATTTTTTCACCCATCCTCCAATGTTCCTGTATAATTCTTCCATCTTCCTTTTTACTTGCTCCATTCACAGGATTATTCAACAAAAGCCAAGCATTCCAGGCCAAACATCCTTCTCATACCATTGGGAGAATTTGAGATCAACTGAAAAGCCCTGTAGAAAATAAAAAGCAGTTTAGGCAAGGAAAAAGGAAAGCTCTGTGTCAATGAGTGAAAATGCTGAAAAAGCCCAGGAAGTTGGGAAGGATTTAATCTAATACAGTTGGTGCTTTTTTTTTTTTTTTTTTTCTTTTTTTTGAGTCGGAGTTTCACTCTGTCACCCAAACTGGAGTGCAATGACATGCTCACGGTCAACACAGCATTGACCCACTAAGCTCAGGTGATCCTACCACACCCAGCATATTTTTTGGTTTATTGTAGAGACAAGGTCTCACCAAGTTACCCAGGGCAGGCGGGTCTTGAACCCCTAAGCTCAGGCAGTCCTCTTGCCTCACCCTCTCAAAGTGCTGGGATTACAGGCTTGAGCCATTGTACCTGGCCCCATCTTTTTTTTATATGTAAAATCTAAGTCTCCTGTGTGGGGATGGGGTTAAGGCTGAACCACTATGAAATTGCTGATATTGGCCAGGCATGGTGCCTTATGCCTGTAATCCCAGCACTTTGGGAGGCTGAGGCAAGAAGATTGTCTGAGCCCAGGGGTTCAAGAATAGCCTGGACAACTTGGTGAGACTTGTCTCTACAATAAATCAAGAAAAATTAGCCAGGTGTAGGGACACATGCCTACAGTTCCAGCTACTTGGAAGAAGGCTAAAGCAGAAGAATCTCCCGAGCCCAGCAGGTCGATGCTACAGTGGCTATAAGCGTGCCACTGCACTCTAGCCTGGGTGACAGTGAAACTTCAACAAAAAAAGAAAAGAAAAATTACTGATATTTGTTTTTGGCAATTTCTTACAGCTTATTAAGGGCTGACTGTATGGCAGGTACTGTTCTAAACATTAAAAAAAATTTTTTTTTTTTAATTTTTTTGAGTTGGAGTCTCACTCCATCAGCCCAGGCTGGAGTGCAGTGACATGCTCATAGCCACCCCAGCATCAACCTGCTGAGCTCAGGCAGTCCTTCCACCCCAGCCTTCCAAGTAGCCAGAAATATAGGCATGCACTACTATGCCCAGCTAATTTTTGATTTATTGTAGAGATGAGGTCTTGCCAAGTTGCCCAGGCTATTCTTGAACCTGTGGGCTCAGGAAATCCCCTCACCTCTTAATTTTCTGAAGTACGTTCTACCACTCTAGTCATTCTATATGTGACTAAATTGAGACAAAGAGAGGTTAAGTAACTTACCAGAAGTCAGTTGGTCTGGCTCCACAGCCTACTATTTTAATCCACACTATAGAAAAGAACAGAGCTGAGCGCAGCGGCTCCCGACTATAATCCCAGCATTTTGGGAGGCTGAGGTGAGAGGACTGCCTGAACCCACAGGATTTGCTGGGTGTGGTGGCACGTACCTATAGTTCCAGCTTCTTGGAAGGCTGAGGCGGAAGGATCACCTGAGCCCAGTAGGTCAAGGCTGCTGTGAGCATGCCACTGCACTCCAGGCTGGGTGACAGAGTGAGACTCCAACTCAAAAAGAAAGCAGCTGTGCAGATTGGGCGAATGGGCCATACCATCACCTGGTACCTCCCAGGAGTATTTAGAGCTCTATAAATACAGTTTGTAAATCATGACCTGGTACAGTCCCTTATTTTACAGTGGATGAATATGAATCCCAAGAGAAGTTACTAGCCCACAGTAGCAGAACTCAGTAAGGCACAGTTCAGGCTACCATGGTATCACAAAATTTCATAGCATCTCTAGAGTTTAAAGTGATGTGATTTTTTATTTTGGGGGGTTGGAGTCTCATTCTGTCACCCAGGGTGGAATGCACTGGCACGCTTATCATGGCCACAGCAGCCTCGACCTCCTGGGCTCAGGCAGTCCTTCTGCTTCAGCCTTCCAGGTAGCTGGAACTACAGGCATGTGCCACCAGCTAGTTTTTTGATTTATTGTCGAGACGAGGTTTCGCCATGTTGGCCAGGCTGGTCTCAAACCTGCAAACGCAGGCAGTCCTCTTGCTCAGCCTCCCAAAGTGTGGGGTTATAGGTATTAGCCACCGAGCCTGGCTTTTTTTTTTTTTAAATAGGAGTCTCGCTCTTGCCCAGGCTAGAGTGCAGTGGCACACTGACAGCCACTGCTGGGCTCAGGTAATCCTTCCGCCTCAGCCTTCCAAGTAACCACGCCTGGCTTGCTTGCTTATTTATTTATTTATTTTGAGTTAGAATCTCACTCTATCGACCAGGCTGGAGTGCAGTCGCAAGCTCACAGCCACACCCAGCATCAGCTTGCTGAGCTCCAGCAAGCATTCTGCCACAGCCTTCCAATAAGCCAAAACTACAGGCGTCTGCTACCATGCCCATCTAATTTTTTTTTTTTTCTTTTTCAGTTGGAGTCTCACTCTGTTGCCCAGAATGGAGTGCATTGGCACACTTCCGGCCACCGCAGCCTCGACCTGCTGAGCTCCGGCGATCCTTCCGCCTCAGCCTTCCAAGTAGCTGGAACTACAGGCGCGCACTACCACGCCCGGCTAATTTTTTCATTTTTTGTAAAGATGAGGTCTCGCCAAGTTGCCCAGGCAGGTCTCGAAGCCGCGGGCTCAGGCAATCCACTCACCACAGCCTCCCAAAGCACAGGATTACAGGCTGAGCCACCAAGCTTGGCTTAATTTTTGATTTATTATAGAGAAGAAATTTTGCCAATTTGCCCGGGCTGGTCTCAAACCCATGGACTCAGGCATTCCACTAGCCTCAGGCTCCCAAAGTGCTGGGATTACAGGCTGAGCCACCAACCCCAACAATTTATTTTATTTTGTTTGTAGAGACCAGGTCTCGCCAAGTTGCCCAGGCTGGTCTTGAACCCCTGGACTCACAATTCTCTCATCTTCACCTCCCAAAGTGCTGGGATAACAGGCATTTCAGCAGATGTGATGTTTAATATCAGGCCTTCTTAGTCCAGCAGAGGTAGCTACTGGCTCGTTTTTACCCACACTTTAAATATAGATTACGTTGCTTACTTGGATCTACCTAGCAAGCTGCTAGTAGGCTGACTCCCTCAGTATACCAGGCTCCACAAAAAAACATTTCTTGACCAGGTGCAATGGCTCACACCTATACTCCCAGCACTTTGGGAAGCTGAGGTGAGAGGATTGCCTGAGCTCACAGACCAGCTTTGAGACCAGCCTGGGCAATTTGGTGAGACCTCATCTCTACAATAAATCAAAAAATTAGCCAGGCATGGTGGCACATGCCTGTAGATCCAGCTACTTGAAAGGATGAGGTGAAAGGATTGCCTGAACCTAGGAGGTCAAGGCTGCTATGGCTACGAGTGTGCCACTGCACTCCAGCCTGGGCGACAGAGTGAGACTCCAACTCAAAAAAAAGTTCTCAATGTAATGAACATGGTATATGTTTTCTAGAAAAGTTTAAAATGTTAGTGTTGGCTTTTTGGTTTTTATGAATTTTTTTTTTTTTGTAACTGATGTCAAGCCCCAAAGAAAGAAATCAGCTGAATTAGAAATGTAATGGCAGCTGGGCTCCGTAGCTCAGCCTGTAATCCTGCGCCTTGGGAAGCTGAGGAGAATGGACTGCCTCAGCCCACGGGTTCGAGACCCACCTGGGCAACTTGGCGAGACCTCATATCTACAATAAATAAAAAATCAGCCAGGCGTGGTAGCGTGCGCCTGTAGTTCCAGCTACTTGGAAGGCTGAGGTGGAAGGATCGCCGGAGTACAGCAGGTTGAGGCTGTGGTGGCTGGGAGCGGCCACTGCACTCCAGTCTGGGCGACAGAGTGAGACTCCAACTCAAAAAAAAAAGAAACGGCTAAGGGCTTGATTAATTCATTCTATATCCTAATATCACAAGAATCAAACTCCTCTGACATGGGTTTTAATAAAATCAACGGACCCATGAAGGTTTTTACAAGTTACAGCTTCCCGTTTTCTTCCCTTCATCCCGTATCAACTGATGGAGTCATTTCTGCAGAACACAGCTTCCCAGCGGCTTCACTGAAACCACTCAAGCTCACGAATGGCCAGGGTAGCATGTCATTACAAATCAGAGTATGGGCTGTCAGCAGCCATCTTTCCAAGACCACATATCAAATTAGATGAATTAATAAGGACACATAAAACCTAATAGTCTACAGTATTTAAAATGTAAGGTAGGCCAGCAGCGGTGGCTCAGTTCTGTAATCGCAGCACTTTGGAAGGCTGAGGTGAGAGGATTGCCTTAAGCTCAGGGGTTCGAGACCAACCTGGGCAACTTGGTGAGACCTTGTCTCTAAAATCCAAAAAAATAAGCAGGATATGATAGCACCCTTCTGCTTCAGCCTTCCAAGTAGCTGGAACTACAGGCATGTGCCACCATGCCCTGCTAATTTTTTTGGTTTATTGTAGAGATGAGGTCTTACCCAGTGGCCCAAGCTGCTCTCAAACCCCTGGGCTCAGGCAGTCCTCTCGTCTCTGCCTCCTAAAATGCTGGGATTACAGGCATGAGCCACCACACATTTTAAGTGTCATTGCAGGTTGCTGGGCACATTCTAGGTATTTAGTAAATTCTTGATGGTGAATCAAATAAGATTAGTGATAAGGTGAATGGCTAAACCATTAATCCAAAGTGATTTTTTTT